GCACCTTCTGTCTATTTCTTAAATACATTCTGTTCCTTTGATCTAAATATCCTTATGGGAATACCACATTGTCTGGTTACTGTAATTTTATATTTATTTATTTATTTGTTTGTTTGTTTGTTTATTTATTTATTTATTTATTTTGGGGAATAGCCATGGTCATTGGTTACACATTGCTTTCATGCTACAATGGCATAGTTGACTCTTTTAGGGAGTGTGCAGCTCACATTGGCCCATGCAGGGATTGAACCGGCAACCTTGGTGTTATCAGCACGATGCTCTAACCAACTGAGCTAAGTGGTCACCCCTAGTAAGTCTTTTTTTATACAGTTTTTATAGTAATTCATTTGAGTTCTCCCAACTTTAGTCTTCATTTAAGAAATTGTTTTGTCTATTCTAGGTACTTAGTATTCTATATACATTTTAGAATCAGCTTGTCAATTTTTATGAAAAGCCTGGGTGGTATTTGATTGGGATTGCATCATAACTGTGGAGCCTAACAACCGAATCTTTTGATCATGAACATGTACACATTTTAATTCATTTAGGTCTTTTAAAACTTCTCTCAGCAGTGATTTGTAGTTTTTAGTCTACAGGTCTTGCACATATTTTGTTGAATTTATCCCTAGTCCATGTTTTTTTATGCATAGAGCTTATTTTATTTTAAAATTCTTTATTTTTAAATGTTTAAAGCTTATAGTAAAGTACACATAGCAGAATTTACCATCTTAACCATTTCTAAGTGTATAGTCAGCCCATTTCGTATTTCTGGCACTATTATAAATGGTTTAGTTTGTTTCATTTCAATATCCAACTGTATAGAAACACAAGTGATTTTTATATAAATACATAAAATTGTATCCTGCTACTTTGTAAATTTATTAGTTCTAGTAGCTTTTATATGTTATTTGAGGCCATGAAAGTTTAGCTATAATATTTATTGAATACGTGCTATGTGCCAGGCATTCCTCCGAGTGTCATACATTTAATGAGCCCAACAACACTGAGGACAGAGTCTTAGAGAGCTAAAATGACGTGCCCAAGGTCCTGCAGCTCAGATGCATTGGACCTGTGGGAGAGAGGATAACAACCGAGAGCTAGAACCCTTTGTCCAGCACTTTTCTGAGCACTTTCTGCATGCCAGGCGCTGTGAGACTTGTACGTACACTTTCCCGTTTAATCCCCAAAGCAGTCCCTTGAGGGAGTGCTGTTATGTTGTGGCCTGGGCAACTTGCTGAAGAGGAGACTCGATGATGAAAAGCCAGCACTGCCTCAGAAGTGGCCATACTAGGTTGTGGCCTGTAGGCCTGCATGCAGGGTGGGGGGAGGGTTTGGCAAGGTAGGGGCACAGACAGGGGGGCGCAGGATCACGGGGGCTGTGAGGCAGGGCATGGGTGGGGGCTGGAGGCACAGACCCAGTGTTCACAGAGGCTCTGCCTCTCACTGTACCTCCCTGTCTCAGCTTTTTTATCTTTATGGAATCTCTTAGCCACTGTGACCTTTTAAAGATGTAAGTCTAGTTGTGTCGTTCCCTAAATGAAACCAGTTGTTTGGAGCTGCTCCACCTGTGTCTGCAACAGGTGCTGGCCCAGACAGAGATGCAGAAATTGGATGTGTGCAATTGGAAAGTTTGGGGGCCATTTGACACGGGTGCAGCATCCAAGCACATGACTGGACTTCAGATCTTACAGAAGCATCAGTCCACCATCAATTGGAAACTTAAAATAAGAAAACAACTTGTCCTTCTCCCTAGATAGTTTGTGAAACCTGACCCTAATGGACCGGTGGACTTAGGATGAGGTCCCGTCTTCCGGCATGGCCTGCAGGGCTGACAGGACCTGGCCCTGCCCAGTGCCTCCCTCCTCTTCCCTCCTCCTCCCCTGCTCTTGGTGCACACACAAACACCAAAGCGTGTTCCTGCTGTTGGAGCACACTGGGATTTGTTGTTCTTTCTGTGTGTGACGTTCTTCTCTCAGACATTTAAAGCAGGCTCTGCCTTGTCACGCAGCTGCAGTCGCAGATGTCTCTTCATAGAGAGGCACTCTCTCACCACCCTCTGTCTTAGCCTCTTGTTTTATTACCTCTGAGCCTTTGTTCTACATGAAATTGCTTGTCTGTTTGTTGTGTGTCTCCTCCCACTAAAATATGGATTCCATGAAAGCATCTCTCCTACACACCATCGTCTGTCCACTTCCTGCAATTGAACCTCACACAGTGGATGCTCGGTAGATATTTGTTGAATAACGGAATGAATAGATTGTTGTGAAGCTTAAATAAGATGACGGAAGATGAGTGCCCATGGAGCAGGCATGCTGGAAACGTCCAGCCTCCGCACTGAAGCATGCATCCATACCACGTGCCTAGCCTGGTCTTCCAGTGCCCCTTCTCCTGAAATGGTACCTGGGGAGGTCCTTGCCCTTGCCTGGTGGACAGTGTAGGTGATCAGCTTGTCCACTGCCCACCCAGCTGGGGCACGGTGACTGGAGCCTCCCTAAGCTGTTTTGTGAACTGATAGCAGCCTGTTACTTTATTTATTTTAAAGATTTTATTGGGGAATTGGGGGAAGGGGAACAGACAAGTTGCTGTCCTTTTGTTCTTCAGTCTAGTTGTGGAGGACGTTGCTTCACTATCTCATGTTGGTATTGTGATCATTGCTCTCTTTCCGGGTGAGGCAGTCATTCACCAGCCATTGGACGGCCGCTCATGGTGGCTCACAGCAGCTCATGCTGGCTGCTGGCCGCTCATGGTAGCTCACAGCAGCCCACGCCATCGCTGGCCACTCACAGCAGCCCAACTCCAGGTCAAGCTGTTGTTCACCATCTTAGCTGTAGAGGGCGCAGTGTCACTGGCCCATGTGGGATCCGAACCGGCGGCCCTGCTGCTCAGAGCTTGCTCTCCCAAGCCAACTCTTAACCAACGAGCCACTCGGCTGGCCCACAGACTGTTACTTTATAAAGACCACCCTGATGTTCTTCCTGAGAAGATGGCTATCATGGTCACTTGCTTGGGGTCCTTTGTCTGCAGGGTGAGATCACTTGGGAGAAGGATATTTGGGAACTCAGAATTGAGCCATGGAGAGGCAGAGGGGGTGCCTGATAGCCAGTAGGTTGCTGTGGGGCCACTTGATGAACTTGGCCATGAGGCCTTCAGAATCAGAGCATCCTCTACCTTGGGCAGGGCTGGCTGGAATGTACCCATTCCTTTTCATCATATGCTTGATTTTCGTTTGGTCATTCAGCAAGTGTTTATTTAGACATGGTCCCTGATCTCAAGGAATTCACAGTCAAGTGAGGCAGATAGATGTGAAACAATTATACAAGTACAAAGCTACAACTAACCACCGCTAGGAAGGGCAGTTACAGTGTGTAATTCAGGGAGGGCTGAAGAAGTGGCGTCTTTGCAAGGACTAAGAGCTCACTCACCTGGGAGAATGAGTCTGTGTGCACATGTGTGCGTGCACGTGTGTGTGTGTGTGTGTGTGTGTGTGTGCACGTGCGCACATGTCGGGGAAGGAGCAGTGGCAGGAAGTGTTCCAGTCAGAGGGAATATCCTGTGTGAAGCTGCTAGGAGGGAAAAAGCATAACAGTCAAGAAATCAAAAGAAGGGGACATAGACAGGGAGGAGGTGACGGAGCAAGTTGGAGCTGGAACTGCAGGCAGGACCACTGTGAGCTCTGCTGCCCCCGCAGGCATGGCAGGGGCTCTGTGGCACCTTGTGCCTGCCCACTCCTCCACTTTGTCCTCATTCACTGAACCCTCTTTGAAGGAGACTTTTGGGCTGTTGTGGGGCTTAGCACGGTGCCCTTCCAGCAGAAAGAAGCAGTCCCTAGCAGTTGTGGCCTTATCCCTCATTTCACACTTGGGGAGGCGGGGTCCCACGGAGGCCTTGCCCAGGCCTGTGTAGCTCCCTCAGACGCCTGGGACCCATTCCCAGCTGTGCCATAGCTTCTAGTTGTTCTCCAGCCAGAACAAGAGGGAGCTTTTGGGAAAAAGCTCTCTGATTCCTCCACTGCTTAAAACCTGTCTCTGGTTAAAATTCAGTCCTAACAGGAGCTTGTTTGCAAATGGCAGGAATTAAGAAAGACATTGGGAGGTTCAGGCTGTGGAGCTCCCCGCTGTGGGTACTGATATCCTTGAGGCTCCCTCACAGTGCTAGCTATCCCACAAAGCCTGGTGGCGGGGCTCAGGCAGCAAGCCCTTCGTCTGGCTGCAGTGAGGTGGTGGGAAGCAGGAGGGCCTGCACGGAACAGCCAGGACTTGTTTCAGCCTCTCTTGTGGGAGGTCACCCACCCCCCGCCCAAGACCACACCCCACACGGAAAGGGAGAGGATGTGGACAGACCTACAGCAGCAGCTGACGCCTGTCCCCTGCACCCCACAAGTCACTGCGCCCCCCCCCCCAGGTCACCTACTTTCTGTCAGCTCCCTAGGCACACCTGTTCCTTTCTGCCTTAGCACCTACACATGCCACCTGCTTTACATGCTGTCCCTGTGGCCTTATGGAATCAGTTACAAGTGGCTTCCTAAGGAAAGCTCTCCATGACTCACCCTGGTGGGATAGGAGGACCAGCCAATCAGGGGCCCTGTAGACCATTCTTGGTAGCACTTTCCCAAGTGTCATGTAACGAATTGTTTCAGTGTGCCTTTGCACTTTGTGTCCACCCCCGCACACCTCCCCCCCGTTCCTGTGTCCTTAGAGTCTATGCACGCACACATGCGAGCATTCACGGTGTGCGTGCTGGATGGAGGGGAGGCCACCAGTCGTGAGTCCTGGGGGTGTTGTGCAGGATTGGAGCTGGGGGGCAAGTCTTCATGTATGCCAGGACTCCGTTGCTTTCTAGCACTGTGACGTGGTCAAGTCCCACTGTCCCCGAGTGTCAGTTTCCTCTGCTGCCAGTGAGATAATCACGGCTCCCTCACTCGGCCCCTGGTCCTGGAGAAAGCCTGACTGTGCCCAGGCCTGACGGCACTCTCTTCTCCCCTCTGCCTGTTCACGTTGCAGTATGCCTGGGTGGAGAAGCACTTTGGCCCTGACTTTCTGGAGCAGGTTGTGCTGACCAGAGACAAGACCGTGGTCTCTGCCGACCTTCTCATAGACGATCGGCCGGACATCACAGGCAAGTGGCCTGGGCAGGTGAGGAGCGAGCGCAGACGGCCCACACCACTCAGACAGACAGCTCGTGGGGCTTGGCCTCACCGCCCCTTCCTGCATGGCCCCCACTTAACCACCTGATGTGTATCAAGCCATCAGCTTTGAGCTGGTGCTGAGCCTCTTCCTTGTTGGGAGACAAGGCTCTTCTCAGCGTTCGCCGGGAAGCCTAGAGAAGGGGCTCCCAGCTCCGGGCAGAACTTGTTGGGTAGCCTTGGGTGAGTCCCTTACATCTGGAAGCTTTGCCTTCCTCATTTAAATGAGGCCCCAACTGTGGCTTCCAAATGTTTGCTTTCAGCAGAAGAACTCTTCTTTTTTTTCTAAAAGCAATTTGAACTGAATATAATATATAAAACAGAAAAGCGAAGTATAATTTCTCCAGTTGAAGGTAGTTTGGGAGCTGTCTTTGTCCCTTTTGTTAATGGATACCCCCTCTCCAAAACAAACAAAACAACAACAAGACCCAAAAACCCTTGAACTGGATTTGAAAGGAGAGGGGAAATTTATTGGTGCACCTAACTAAAAAGGGGGGACAGGAGGCTGTCAGGCGTGGCTGAATCTAGGCGTCCAAATAATATCAGTTGAAGTTCAGTTTATCTCCTTGTTCTGCTCTGGCTTGCTTTCATACTTAGGCAGGCTCTTTCCTTCTGGTAACCATCTGTAGTTTCAGGGTTAAATCTTATTTTTTTGGACCCCTCAGTGGTAAAATACAGAATATTTTTTCACTTACGACAGCTGGTTTGGGAAACATGCCCATCCTCACACTAGTCACTTTGTCCGAAGGGTAGAATCCATGGTGTGCTCGTCCCTCACCTCCCAAACCATGCCGTTTCTCAAGGAGAGTCAGGGTGCAGCACCAGTGGGACTGTGACCGTGAGGGTCCCAGAGACCCACTCGACTTCCATCTCCAACCAGGGAAGAGGCCAGTGCAGGAGGAACTGGGGGGCCAGGCCATAACCCAGGGGGCAGTGCCAGTGTGGACATGTGGACACGAGTGATTGAAGCTTTGCTGGTGAGCTACAGAGCTGGTGCCAGCCCATGCAGGATGCCTGGGCATGGGAGAGAGGAAGGGCAGGGTGTGAGCGAGGCGCAGCCTCTGACTGTGACAGGGCCAATAACAACCTCCGCCGTCACTGCTTGCTGAGCACCAGTGCACGCTGGGCCATTGCTTCATGGGGGCATCTTTTTTTTTTTTTTTTTTTTAGCTGAGCCATCCTGCTACCTGTTGGCAGCTCAGCGGCTGCTCAGCTCGGGCTGGACTCGAACCGCTGTTGCTCAGAGCTCAAACTCTTGAGTGAGCTCTTAACCAACTGAGCCACTCGGCCGGCCCGATGGGGGCATCTTATTCAGCCATTGTGACCCTGTGAGACAGGTGCTGGGGCGGTCTCCACTTTACTAAAGGGGAAACCACGTCTCAGGTGAGTTGCTTGACTGAGGACACTTGGGAGCTGGTCCCAGGTGGCCTCTCCAGGCTCCTGACATTGGACTGAGTGCTGCTTTCCTGCCCACAGGGGCCGAGCCCAAGCCCAGCTGGGAGCACGTCCTCTTCACAGCCTGCCACAATCGGCACGTGCAGCTGCAGCCCCCAGGCCGCAGGCTGCACTCCTGGGCGGACGACTGGAAGGCCATTCTGGACAGCAAGCGGCCCCGCTGAGGTGGACTGAGCTCTGGACTCCTTTGCAGGGCCCGTGACCTCTGGGCTCCAAGCTCAGGGCCTGGGGGACTAGCGCTCTGGCCTGAGGACTTCCTCTCAGGTGCCCCGGGCCCACTGTGCGTCTCCTCCTTCCCCCAGCCCTGCCAGGCCTTAAACTGATCTTGGGGCAGGACTGGCCTGTGGGCCCTGAACTGGACTCATGCAGCCGGGCAGTGAGGGCTGACCTCAGGCCACGGCCAGGCTGCCAGGAGCCAGGGCTCCAGACTGGAGGAGCAAGAGTGTTGTTCCGAGGGCCAGCAGCCCTTCCCCTCAGGGAAGCCCCCTTCCCCGGCTGTGCAGCCCATTGGTGAGGGGGCCAGTAGCAAGATGGCCAAGGTGCTCCTGGTCTGAGAGGGTGGTGAGCCAGAGCAGGTGGGGCAAGCGCCTCCATTCTCAACCATGCCCCTTACCCAGCCTGGTCTCCCCAGTGCCCCGCCACATGTTCGGCACTCGCTCACTGAGTTCCAGGGCATGCCAGGCTCAGTGCTAGGTGAGGTGCCGCACACGACCCTGCCTTGGACCAGCTCACAGGGTTCTTGCACCATGCCTCTGGGGCCCCGCTCAGGGCCCAGCAGAGAGTCATCAGGCTTGAATGTTGATTGAAGGCATGAAAAATAAATACTGTTTACGTGTCACCTCAGACTGTGGCCTCCTCTAGCCCCCATCCTGGGCACCAGCTGCTTATCTTGTAAGTACCTGGCCCACCCCCCTGCACTGATGGGAAGCTGAGGAGGGCGCAGCTTCCCCTGCCCCAAGTCTCGGGAACTGGTGGGGGCCGAGGAGGAGTGGGGCCCTGGTGGTGGCAGGCTGGGCTGGCCCCCACTGCACAGCTCACACTGATGGTGACGTTGAGCAAACACCCCCCTCAGGGACCTCTCCCCGTGCCGGCCCCTGGTTCTCCAGCCCTCCTGGCTCACACAGTTTAGCAGCGTCCCCACCCTCTGTTCATCTCCCACAGCTCAGTTTTTGCAGGATCCCAGGAGCCGTGCGGAGGTAGCTTGCTGATGTTAAAGAGTCTCAGCATTTGTTCCTTTTGACCTGCTGGGAAGTGGCTTCAACAACCACCTCCCCACGCCTTCTCAAAAGGCCTCTTCACGCTTCCTGCTCTTCCGCTGCCCTCCCCATCATTGCCCTTGCAAGGAACCCTCTAATTTGTCCCATCCCTGGGTCCTGACAGGCTTTCCAGCCCCCTGTGGCAGGCACTCTTGCTCTACCCAGTGGTAGGTCAGGAGTAAAGATGAGGGACAGGTGCCTGAGACTCAGGGCAGGCGTTAGTGACCTGCCGTTCTGGCTCTGGGCCTGAGGAGCCTGGGTTGGTCACCCCAGATTAGGTAGGAAGGACTCAGCTTGGCCAAAGGCTGGCTTTATCCCTTGGAGGGCAGAGTAGGGGGCTTTGCACCCCTGACGAAGAGTGTACTTGGGGTTGCATCATGTGACCCAGAGGCCACCTGGCCCAAGCAGAGTCGTGTGCAGATCCCAGCCGTCCTGACCTGAGGCCCTGGAAGGACGTGAGACCCGGGTGTGCTGGCTTCCTGGCTGCTCCCCAAGACCCTCTGTGCTGCTCACACGAGGACACAGACGCTGTCTGAGGGCCAGAAGATGGTGTCACACGAACGATGCAGTACTGCCCTTTCTTCCCAGCTTGTTCACGCTGCCCTCTGCCTCCCTGTCACCGGCAGTGCCTGCAGGTCTGCTCTAAAACACCCCCTTTTCTTTTTAAAATTTTATTGGGGGATTGGGGGAGGGGACCAGCCAAGTTGTTCTTCAATCTTCGTTGTGGAGGGCGCCAGTCACCATCTGGCTGCCCATCGGCAGCTCGTGGCCTCTAAGCTCAAGATGCTGTGTTCAATCTTAGTTGTGGGTGGGTGTGGCCACCATCCCATGCGGGAGTCGAACCGGCAGCCTTGTTGTTAAGAGCGCATGCTCTACCCACTGAGCCATCCGGGTGGCAGCTCAGCTTAAGGTGCCGAGTTCAGTCTTAGTTGCGGGTGGGCGTAGCCCACCATTGAACAGACAATCTTGTTGTTACACCAGCTGAGCCATCCTGCCACCTGTTGGCAGCTCAACAACAGCTCAGCTCGGGTGCAGTGTCACTGGCCCATGTGAGAATCAAACCGGCGACCCTGTTGCTCAGAGCTCTTGCTCTTAAGCCAACTCTTAACCAACTGAGCTACTTGGCCAGCCCACACCCCCTAGAGCAGCGGTTCTCAACCTTCCTAATGCCTCGACCCCTTAATACAGTTCCTCATGTTGTGGTGACCCCCAACCATAAAATTACTTTCGTTGCTACTCTATAACTGTAATTTTGCTACTGTTATGAATCGTAATGTAAATATCTTTTTGTTTTCCGACGGTCTTAGGTGACCCATGTGAAAGGGTCGTTCAACCCCCAAAGGGGACCCATGTGAAAGGGTCGTTCAACCCCCAAAGGGGTCGCAACCCACAGGTTGACAACCGCTGCCCTAGAGCTTCCCAGTCTTACAGTTGTCAGGCTCCTCTGGGACCCCAGCTCTGGACTGCCTGGGGCACTGCAGCCTCTGGCCCAATGGAGTTAGTTTCCCGGGGCAGGAATAGGTTCCTGCCAGGGCCCGCCACTGTGGGGTCTGTGTGAGCCCCAGGCCACACAGCGAGCCAGGCCCCCTGGCCTTCCCCCAGAACAGTGTAGACGGCAGACCTTAATACAGGGGAGCAGAAAACAGCTTTGCTTATTTCTATCCAGGGGCCTCATTCTGCTGATGACAGACGTAATCCCGCCTGTTCATCCCTGAGTCTCCCTCCTCTCCTCCCCAGGGAGTGTCCCAAGCTGGGTGGCTGACTTCCTTCGTGTAGGGCTGTCAGTGGGGAGGGCATCTGGTCTCCCATGGTCCTCGTTCTCATGCTGCTGTCCCTAGCCTGTTCCCCTGAGGTCAGCTTTGGGACCCCACGTCTGGTGGATGGCCCCGTCAGACCCTTCAGCTGCTCCAAAGGGGGCAGTGAGACCCCTCTGCCTGCTCACTGACTGCAGTCGTTTCCTCCCTGCCCACCTGGCCCCTGGTGAAATGCAGGGGGCTCTAGGGCCTTGGGCATGAGCCGGGGTGGGGCAGGAGGCCAGAGCACAGAGCCCCACTCGGGGACAGTCCCACCTCACATCTGCCAACTCTGGCCCATGAAGGCCTGACTCGAGGTCTGCTGTAACAAAGCTGTAGCCAGGGCATTCTGTTTTAGGTCCTCAAGAGGCTGGCCCCTCGAAAACCTTTCCAACGGATTGCTGCCTTAAGTTACAAAAGCCAGTCTAGAAACTCTGATGCTATGAATTGCCACTTTTGTTTTCCACTCAGCTAGAATCACTCAACCTGAGGTAGCAGCCTTTTCAGCTGCCTATAATTTAAAGGAGAAAAAACTAGTTGCAGGGCAAGCAGTCACAAACAATCACTGTAATGATGATGCATGCCAGAGAAAGTCCAGGGGCTGTGGAAGCCGGTGGTGTGCGCTCCAGGACAGGCCTGGGGGACAGAGGGGAGAACCCTCCTGACTGAGGGAAGACCATGCGAAGGCCCGGGGGCAGGCAGGGGCTGCCGAGGAGCTGGGCGGGCAGAAGGCCGCAGGGCTGGCTCCTAGAGGAGAGGCGGGGGTGGGAGGCGGGTGCTACCCTGTGGCACTCCTCGGTGGGCCGGTGCTGCCCTCATTGTGCTGGGAAGGGAGGGGTGCCTGAGACCGCTGATGACACAGGCTGGGCCACAAAACTTGGACTTTTTTGTCAGACAGGAGACCCCCAATTGAAATGATGGTGACTTTCTTCAAAGTTTGAGAAGTGTATGTTTTGCTTCAGAACCATTTAATGCACCACAGAAAAGGAAGTCACCTCCTAATAGGAGAGCCGGGCTTGTCCTGCCCCAAGATGAAGAGACATGTCAGCTTGGTCCCTCTCTTCATTGGCTGGCCTCAAAATGCCTTAGCTCTTGTTGAAAGTGAAGACTCACCCTGTGAAAATACTGGAAATATTCAGGGCTGCAGGACTGGAGCTGCTGGAGGGAGTGGTGGGCCTCCAGCTTAGGCAGGGGTTTTAGGCAGAAAGACTTAGTATAGTTTCTTCACTTTTCTGGGTTATGGTTTCCCAGTTGAGATCCACTCCAATATCACAACAATAACCATTTTCTTAGCACTTCCGGTGTTCTGGATGCTGATGAGCACTTTACGGGCCTCACAGCCACCCTCTTATGGCTGCTCCCACTTAACCAGTGAGGCTGTCGGCCTAGCAGGGCCGTGTTCTGACCGAGAGCATGCTGGGTAAGTGGTGCCAGGATTTTAGCTGGGCATCCTCACTCGGGCTTATGCTTGTGACCTCCATGCAACCCTGACCTCTCATCCAGTACTCCCTGGGGCTCAGGTGTACATGGGGAAATCAGTTTCACTCGGTCGGGCTGGGCCTCCGTCTGAAAGTAGGTATTCAGGCACCCAGCCTGCAGCAGAAATAGGCACAGGTGGGAAAGGGTCAGGCCAGAGCTGGGCGATTCCCAGAAACCAGAGGTCTGGCTGGCATGGCCTCCCGAGGGGTGGGAGAGGAGGGAAGCTCACTGATTCCCTGTGGGCCAGGTGTAGGGAGGATGTCTGTCATGGAGACAAGGATGCTTTGTAAACACTCCCTGTTCCCCCCAATTTGCCACTGTCCTCCCCTGCACTCCTGCCATTCAGACAAATCCCTGAGTCCAACCACAGCCAAGGAAAGGTAGGGCAGGTGTTACCTAGAACTGGAAGCCTGTGGGCTGAGGAAGAGGGAGGGAATGGCATGGGTAAGCCCCCAGGAGAAGGCCATTCCACACAGCAGGGGAGCTGTGAGCAAAGGGGGTGTGGAGGTATGCCCTAAGACCCCGCCTGCCCTCTGGCACCAAAAGAAAAGGATTCATAGTCCCTGGAGATGGATGAGGACAGGCCAGGAGCTCAGGAGGTGGCCACCAAGGAGGGGCAAAGCGACCCCAGGGCTGAGGGCTGCAGGGCTGCCATCTGGCTGGGCTGAGAGCATTCCTTGTCGGTTACCTCTGCTGCAGGGGCTCAACAGTGAAAGCAGGCAGGGCAGAGCTCCCCGCCCAAAACGGGGCGATGTGACGAGTGCACCAAACAAAAGCCGGCTCCTGGATCCAGATGTCTCCTTGGTAGGGATTAAAACGAGGGAGAGTGAGGGGATATTAGCCCCTCCAGGGAGTGGAAACTTTGAACTAAATGATTCTAGAAAGAGCCTGTTAGAGACCAAAGAAGACCATTTCAGGTGGAAAGATACTGAGTTAGTTTTAATTGGCAATTTAAAAAAATACTGTAGTGATAAGCTATTAGTGACCAGTTATACTTAATAGCAAACAGCTGGCCCTTCCCACAACTTGCAGAAAGCCAGGGCTCAGAGAGGTACAGCAGGGCTGGGGTTGGAACTCAGCTCCCAGAGCCTATGGGGAATATCCAGAAGGCAGCTGGACAGTGGGGGAAGGACCCAGAACAGGGAGCTTGGAGAGGGGCCCATTTTTGCCAGGCTTGCTGCGTCCCCTTGTCTGTTTCCAGAGTTGATCAGCTTCCATGAAAAAGGGTTGAAGGAAACAGGGACATTTTATTTATTTTAAAACTTTGCTGCGCAGTGGAGGAAACTGAATTGCTCTGTGAA